GATGGCCTGCGTGAAGGCGTCGAGGAAGAGTTCGAGGCTTGAGGTGTACATACAGCTCAGGCTCTCGAGCTCCTTTACAACAAAAAATAAAAAAGATCCTCTGAAGGCCAAGGGTTTGAAGATCAAGTTGCTGCTGCTGAGTTGCTGCAGCACAAGTGCTGCTTCCGTCACGCGAGCAGCAACTGCTGCTGCTGTTGCTGAGGCCTCTTTTAGGGTTTCCGTCAGCGCCGAGTCGTCCAGAATGTTGCTTGTCGAACTCGACAAGAGCCGCAGCATCGTCTCCTCCTGAACAAACCCTAAACCCTAAACCCTAAACCCTAAACCCTAAACCCTTGCGAGCGCCCGCGGCCACGCGGACTCGAAATTAACCGCGCAAACAACACTTCCTTACACACCGTGGATAAACACACCCTCCTCAAGGTCTAGGGTCTGCCGTTATCAAGGGTTGGGTTTAGGGTTTAGGGTTTAGGGTTTAGGGTTTAGGGGTCAAGGGTTCAGGCCTAAAGTTTCGGGGTTCCGGCTAGGATTCAAGGGTATCCTGCTTCCTCAAGTTGCTAGCTCTCGATTCACGATTCAGGTTTCAGGGTTTAGGGTTTAGCGTTTAGAGTTTAGGGTTTAGGGTTTAGGGTTTAGGGTTCAGGGTTGAGGGTTTAGAGTTTAGAGTTCAGAATTTAGGGTTGAGGGGTCTAGGGTTGAGGGTTTAGAATTGAGGGCTCATGCTTCAGGGTTCAGGCTTCAGAGTTTAGGCTTCAATGTTTAGGGTTTAGGTTCCAAGTTTCAGGGTTTAGGGTTTAGGGCGTAGGGTTTAGGGTTTAGGGTTTACGAGTTCCTGTAGCTGCCGCAGGTCTGCTGCATTCTGGACTTGGAGTTGAGTGCTTTGTCTCTCCACTTGAGGGTTTTCTAAAAAAAGAATTTTCATCAAAAGTTGTTCTTCGAGGCCTTCGCGAGTCACTGCGAAACTCACTAGCGACACCTGCGCCCAAACCCTAAACCCTAAACCCTAAACCCTAAACCCTAAACCCTAAACCCTTTCGCCCCCGCCCTGAGCGCTGGTAGCGCCTCGGAGGCGCCCAAAGCGGCCTGTCGACGCAAGACAGGGTTTAGGTTTTAGGGTTTAGGGTTTGGGGTTTGTGGAGCTGCGCAGCTCGTGGGGGCGCGGGGTTTGGGCGGGTCAAGGGTTTAGGGTTTAGGGTTTGGGGTTTGGGCGTTCCTGCATGGCGATGTCCGGGAGGTAGTGAGGGTTTTCGAGTTTGGTGGTGAATATCAAATAAAAGTTAGGGTTTATGTCAATTTCTAAACCCCCCAAAAACACTTTTTCAGCGACTCCTAAACCCCCTTTTTTCTTCAGCGGCAGCGCCACCACG